TTACATCGAACGAGAATGTTCTAACCTTTTTGTTTTCATCTTTTATAGGTTTATCCTTACCCGACGGTCTAGGCTTAACCATTGTAGGACAAATATACATATCTCCTTTAATTAATTCAGCCAAACACATTTTGGCTTGATCGTAATATTCGTCATTAATGGTATGAACATCAAAATTTGGGTCTCTATAATAAGTCCCCTTACTATAATTTTTTATTTGATCTTCTTCTCTTATTAATCGTTCATATCTAGTCACGTTTGCGCTCAATTGAAAAAGATCAGGAAATTCCTTGTCTTGGAATGTCTTTTTGAAATCAAAGTTTAGACAATTTTGAACGATTTTGACAAACTCCTTTTTGGGCAAAGGTACAAAATATTTACTTCTTGCTGTCTTGAACTTTTGAAGGAAACCTTCTGCCCATTCGTTTGGCATTTGACACAAACTCGCCAAATCGGTCAAAGTAATTTCAGACTCAGTCTTATAAAATTGAGCATGGAACAATTGCTCCAATTATTGCCATGTTTGAACAGAGTTCGTTGGCAAATTGATGAACCAGGATAAAGTTACTCCTGTTAATGAACTAGGGAACAACCTCATTTTATGGTAGTCTGTTATTTCACCACTTTGCAGTGTGAATCGCCCTATGTGTTTTAGAGTAGACACCTCTCCTAAACCGATAAATAGCGAGAATTTTGGCACTTTATATCCTCTAGGCCATGGATATGCTTGGTCTACCCAATCAGGATATAGCTTTGTGTAAGTCGGCCTAATGACATGACGTACTCCAAAAGCCATCTGATCCTGTATTATTTCCATAATTTGATTCCTCAACATGACGTTGGGTCATATGAAATTCCTACAAGTTGGTTGATTTGCTTGAGGCCTGATGTTTGGTCCTTGGTTGGCAACAAAGTTGCCTTGATTTGGGCTATTGTTACCATTAGCCTAAATATTTATTCCATCATTAACACGTGAGGCATTCTGTCCATTATTTAGGACATTGTCTCTTACATTTAGGTTACCCCCCCAAGTTAGCCGTACCATTACACTATTCTGATTTGGCATTACACCATCCCCTGGTTTAAAGTAGAGGGACCAAAATGTGGTTCTATCCCTTGATTTGGATTTAGGACTGGGGGATTATGTCCCACAATTGTCCTAGCTTGAAAGTGATTTGCAAGAGGCACAACTGGCTGATAAATTTGGCCTACTAACTTATTCATTATTTCATTCAAAGTATTCAGTTGTTTGGCCATGTTGTCATAATGTGCATTCTCATTCTGGGTAAATCTTTCCATATTATGAATATTTCGTAGATTTACCTGTTCAACGACATCCTGTGTGAGTTCTCCAAGTAATGCACGCATGGTTCGAGGACTCAACTCTTTCATTGGTTCGTATTGACTGTGACTGCTCTGAATATGTCCCTCTGTTCGTGGAGAGATATGCTGCTCCTCATATCGCTAGATCATAGACTGGACTCATCCCTGACTTGTTGCTTCCTTATCAGATTTGTGAGGCATACTATTTCACCTTTCGTATCTTCAACATCAAACACCAATATTCCACCGGGCGTGCCAAATTATTTCACGCGGGTAGTCGCTAACAATTAAAAAGGGATCAGACGATTGTGTAAGGAATAAATCTCTTGAGACAAAGTCCCAAAAAGGGGTGTTTTATTGACGATGATTTACAATTGGAATTCAACAGAATGCCTCCAAGGGGGCGCAAGCACACGAATACTGAAAGAAATGTTTTAGTTTAAACTAAGAAATTGAAATTACATATTCTCTGTTTGAGAGTGTTTGATTCGGGGTTTTGTCTCTCTATGTCTTCTCTTCCTTTTATATTCCCTTGATAATTTCTTCGTGACAAACCGCTTGAAAATTGCTTGATTGCTTTATGACTATCCACTTTCTTTATGGTGACTAACTTGTCGTGGAACTGCCGTCTCTAACTGCTGTCACTACTCTTTGTCGTTCAACTGCCTTCAACTGGGTTCTTTGAATCGTGGAATGTGATAAGGTTACTCAATAATTGCTTCAATAACTGCATTTCTGGATAACCATAACATTTTATGTTTGTTACGATCCTGGGCGATTCGAAGGTATAGGCGAGAACAGGGTCATCGCTATGGGCGTAAGGCACTCCATTCGCTCAGATCTTGGGCGTCTTACAAGCTTGGGCGATGATGTTATTGTGTTCGTGAGCTTGCATTGCATTCATTAATAACCCTGTTTGGACCTTTATCCTGAATTGCCCAATTGGGCTTTATTCTTTGGGCTATTCGATTTGAACTACACTTTTAATGTGTAAACAGTAATCATGGCAAAAGAGAGGAAAATTACTGCATCTATAGCGCAGAAGATCAAAATGAATCTCTTATCTTGGATTGACCCATTCCCCACCCCTGGGAAATCCAACCACATTTAGTGTTTTCATGACGCAATGGGAGGGAAAAAAAAATGAGCATTCAATCATCTTTGGGGAACACGTACAGCAGACAACAGAAATAGTATAATCCATCCATGGAAAAACCAAGGGTCATTTAAATACACATTCTGAAAGAGTAGAATTGGCGCCAATAATGGTGATATGAGCAAAACAAAAATATTTCAGTTCAACCTCTTCCTACTCGTATGTTCATCTCATTGAACTCAACAAGTTGTATACTGTTATAGTTTCTACATGTTTTCAGCAGTGCAGAGCAAGTCGCCATCAGTTTCAGTTCTTCACGCTCTCGTCGACCACATTTTATAACCATTGCTATTTCTGAAGTAACTATTCTTCCAACAGCAAAACTGGCTACAGAAACCTTGCAGGGATGTGAACATGAAGAATAAACTAGTTTCTTCAACTCATCATTTTTCCATTCACATAAAGCATTCATTGGTTGCTTTGTCACCTGCACTACTATTTAATCCCAAAACCAAGTTGGTATATGGCTCATACAACAATGCAGTATCTGATTAAGCAAACAAGGGATGATATCTACCTCTTGCGTTTGCTTTTGTGAGAAGTTGATGACGAAGGATTACTGTGCCAATTCCTTTTTCTTTGGTTGATGAACCAGTTGTTAATCTGTTTTAGTTGCAACCCAGTTTCCAGCACCAGTTTTCCTTTATCTTCCTCCTGCACAACAAAGCTGTTAAGACACTATAAAAAATTTCAAATACAGGTCAAAATTGGTTCTAAGATATCAAGGATATGCAGATATATGTCAAGGCTGAACGCAGTCTTAACAAAAAGAAATTCATGGATTCATCGCGACATTTTCAGAACGGTTTTTAGGCTATAACCAGACCAGTTTTGGGCTGGTTCCCGATTTTTAAGTCAAACCAACCAGATAGCTGGTTCTTAAAACATTGGTACTAATAAATAAAAAGACAAGTTCATGCACTGAGTAGAGTATCAATAGCAGCCGTGGTGTTCTGTAATTATGCCTACCGTAGGATATGGCCACTTGGAATGAGTTTGCCACCAGGTTTTTAAGACAGATGTAGTGTCCCCCGGAAGTTTTCCAGCTCTTCTTTTACGTAAAATTTCCTCTCTGACGTCCACGATCTTCTCCTTGTAACCCTATAAGAAGAAATCTGACTACATTTAATTCCATTGATTACATGAACCAACGGCTAAACTGTATAGTTAGTGGTTTACTACCTGTTTAAGCTCGTGTTTCAGTTCTAGTCGCACACGCTCCATCAAGGACCTCTCGCTTTCTGTGGGCACCAAAGGACCAAATCCCATGTTGTCTGATCCATTTAGACTTTCATCAAACAAGTTAGTTTCTTCACTATCGTCATCAGACATGGTTGCTCCTGTACCTTCACCTGGTGGTACCCCTGTCAAGTAACAATCAAAAGGGATCATATGTGCATCAGTTTAATGAATAGGCTCCACACTGAAATCAAATGGTAAAAAGTAATAAATGTAAATTCTAGTTCTTAAATGAAATAAAGGAAAACTAGAAAAAGAATGAGATGATCACCTGTCAAGCTTTGCAGCGATTGCTCGAGCTCCCAACAAGCCATGACTGCTTCCATTGCATGAACACGAACATGTTGTTGAAGTTGCTCTTTGAAGGAAGCGAGCAGTAGAACATAATGCGTCTACATCAGAAAGAACAAGAAAATAAAGGAAGAGACAAAGGGAAGATTTAGAAGAAAACTCGAAAGCAAGAAACTGTCTTGTAAAACTATTGAATTTAATCATGTTGTTTGGGCTGTGATGCCAAAAGCCCAGTCCAAATAATCAGGGGGCGATGATGATAAATTGGGCTCGACCCATAGATACTACACCATTGCCCAATTACTCAAGTGAACTGGACCCGAGCCCAATACGAGTGTGATGTGTGCTGCTCCAGACCATTGATCATCTACTGAAATCAACGGTGCTTCCTTCTTGATATATATAGGGCATTTGGGGTTGCCCTAGACGCGTCTTTCATTCTTGAGTTTTATAGAACCCTCTGGATTCTCTCTGAGTCGTTTGGTTTTCCTTCGTCTTCTTCATTTTTCTTCCTGGAACTTCTGGTCTCAGATTCAGTAGTAAATCTTTGAGTCTTTGTGATTCGTATCGTGAAGGAAACTGTGATGTCTCTGTGGTGTCATTTTGGTTTGTGGAAGTAGTTGCAATCCGTGTATTGAGGGTTAGAGTTTGGGTTCCATACTTGAACAGACGGGTACAATGTTCTGAGCCCTAGGTTTCTCAAGACCCTTGATGTTAATGGTCAATTCTGAGTTGTAAATCTGAAGAAGAACTTTATTCTTTTGTTGTTCTTGGTTATTCGATTTCTTGACTTAATACATGTTGGTAACATAACTATGTTCTTATACACTAGAACATGGGAGGAAGTCTACTGAGAGATTAGCCCCAATGGCACATCTCCAAGTGGTAAAAGAGGAGGGTGGAGAAATCCAACTTTACTTGAGGTTGCTGCGTCAAGGGTTCGAATCCTGAAATATGGATTTGGCTCTTGGGTAAGTGCAAGTGTACAAGCAGTCTTCCACCCTGTACCCTTGGAGGCATAACCTG